TGTTTCTCTTTTTTTTTTTTTTCACTAAATTTAGTTCAATTCATTTGAAAACAGAAGACCCTTAATATTCCCATCAGGAAGTCTTAAGAGATTTGTAAACATATTATCACATTCTATTTATCTCTAGCAACCAAAAAAAAAAAAAAAGAAATCCAAACTAACACTTTTTAGACAACTTTATTTTTCTTCACTGCTTCCATCAGCACCAGCATTGACTTCCTTTCTAAAAACTCTTTACTTAAAGAGTTAAATAAATGTGTACTATATGCAGTGTAATTGTAAAGTTGCAAAGAACCAAAAGCCTGAATGAGATAAGGAATTTGGGCTGGTTCCTTTCACTGGTGAAGTGATTCATCTCCATCTACCAAACTTAAAGTCATTGAAAATTCAGATTCTTAACTCCTGAAAAGTTTTCAAGAGACAATTTGGAAATACCTGTAAAAAATTATAAATGCACATAAATTTTTTATTTATTTAAAGAGACAGTAGGCTTGTGTTTGAAATTTTGTCAAGGGAAATACATGAAACCCTTAATTTTGGTAAAATTAAAGTTAAGTGAGTTTGGAAGATGACATCATTTGGGAGACTTTTATTTTCAAGAGCTTGGCTAACTTTTATAATTAGAAAAGTCCTGCTTCAATGAAATTACAATTGTTTACAAGTCACATACTATCGGGTTGCTTATAAATAGGAAAATCCAAATTTCCATTATATCAATTAAACACCTCTTAACCATTAGACTAAAAAAATAAGACCACATGCCTACCCTCTGAGAGTTTATTATTTTGTTGGGAATGCAAGGCTTCCAAATAAATCAATTTGGGAAAAAAACTGAGACAGTCTACTATAACTTTCTAAGTTGACTATCATCAAATGCATATGGCCAAAATACAAAAAGTGATAGTTGCAGTTGTCTGAAAGGAAATATCAATATTTGGGAAGCAGGAGGTGACATGGGAACATATGATTAACAGGTCCAAAGGAGAGAAAAAAAAATTTCTAGAGGGAAAGTGTCAAAAGAGCAGTAATCAGGGTGCATGCGAAGGTTGGGGTACTTAGATGGAGAAAGGAGTTTGGCAGGAGCAGAGCATGAGCCTTCAGAAATGAAGTTTAAGGATATTTCTAGAAGAGTCTTTCCTTGCAAAAGTTTTCAGAGTGTAGCCTCATGATTCTAAAATAGCTGAAATAATTCTTATAGAAAATTGTTCGTGATAATTAAATAATATTATATTAGAAAACAATATCACTACCAATTGGTCTAGAAATCTTATCAGTGCTGACAAATCTACAGCTGTTTGGCTTGGGAGAAAGGTATGAAATGAAGTTTGAGGAGGGGAGAGAGTATAATAAACATTTTGAGATGGCAGCATGGTAAAATGAAAGGGAGCAGGACCAAGATTTGGAACTTCGAGGTGCCAGCTCTGATCTGTGTTCATGAATACTCACTTGTCCACACTGATCCTCAATGTAGACATCTATAAAATGCAAAAGGGATGATTTCGAGGATTCATTTGATATGTAGGTTATATAAACTCTTTTAAGGGTTTTCACATGCGAAAGAACATTATATATATACATATATATAATGTTCAATGGAAGAATTCAGATATTTAGGTAAACAAAAGAGGGAGAGAGATTTTTAGCTTCATATGAGTATATTAGTCAGGGTTCTTGGCTGTAAACAACACACTATAGCTCTGGTAATGTAAGTGAAAAATATAGTGTATTGAAAAGGAGACCTCATAGCATCTATGGGAAGATCAGAAAACCAAGCTCAGGTAGGAAAACGAAGAGGAAAGGCCTGGACAAAATTCCTATCCCAGGTATAGGTCTTAGAACACTGCCAAAGGCAGCATTGCCATTGGACTTTCTGACAAGGACCACACTGGAAACATGCAACAGCAGCCACAAATAATCTCCAACTTTGAATTGTGCTGCAGTCCTTCAAAAGTCCTTGGCCAGTGGAGGCATCTGACTGGCTCTGCTTTACGCCATGTGTTCATGCCCTAGAGTCCAGGATCTAAAAAGGGAGGAACCTCCACATTCAGCTCAATAGTAGGAGACAGAGCTTTACCTCTCATCTACCTTGAAATTACTTTCATATAGTAAGGATATATAGATACTGTTCAAAATGGCCAGAGTCCACTCTAATAAAATTTATCTAAAATGAGTGGATTGTTTTTGGAAGTTATAGTAGGTTGAATGATGGTCCCCAAAAAGACGTGCCCATGCCCTAATCCCCAGAACCTGTACATGTTACCTTATGCGGAAAAAGGTCTTTGAAGATGTCATTAAGTTAAAGATCTTGAGACGAGGAGTTAATTCTGGATTCTCTGGTTGATTCCTGAATTTAATGACAAGTGTCCTTTTAAGAAACGCAGAGAGAGAGTTCCAGTCAAAATGGCAAAATAGATTAACCCTGTGCTCTCCTCCTCCCATAACCACATTAAAATTACAACTAAATTATAGAACAATCAACCCGGAGAACCATCTCAATACTAGCTGAGCATAACTCCTATAACTAAGGATTTAAAGAAGAGGCCACATCGAGGCTGGAAATAAATAAATAAATAAATCACACCTTCATACAAACAAACAAAACAAAACAAAAACAAAAACAAAAAAAAGAAACACTCAGAGAAGATGACGTGAAGACAGAGGCAGAGACTGAGGCGATATGACCACAAGCCAAGGAGACCAGCCACAACCAGGGACTGGAAGAGGCAAGAGACAGATTCTTCCCTGGGGTCTCTGTACAGAGTGCAGCTCTGCTGAACACCTTTAAGTTTCTGGACTCCAGAACTGTGAAGTAACAAATCACTGTTTGTTTTAAGCTACTAAATTTGTGGCAGTTTGTTACATAAGCCCCAGGAAATTAAGGTTGTGTTAGTGAGCCTCCCATTGTATTTAACAGGCTGGATTCTACTTCTGAGATCAGTGCTTTAGAGACAATTCTTGCTCAAGGTGAGAGGCTAAATTCAGTGATAACCTATGTTCTTTTCAACTCTAGGGTTCTGCACTTTTAACTTCTACATAGCTATCTCACCAAGATTATAGCCTCCTCCTGTTGTTTATTGTACCATTTCTGTGAAAATAAGACTAATGACTAGAACAGTAATATTTGACTACTGACAGAATATTGGAGATTTTGTTTCCGAAGTTGTTTATACACGAACCTGATCTATTACTTACACTCTCTCTTCCTTTTTCTTTGGTTGCTTTCTTTCTTTGACACAAAAGGTTTAATCAACTGATATGAAAAAAATTAACTGTCCAGATTATGCAGCTGTCATTTTTCATGTTCCTCAGGAATATTTTCTGGAAAAATAAATGGAGTTGGGCTGCTACAGTTGTTACCAAATCATGGAAATCCCTTTATTGCACTTTGAATCATCCTGAGACACATTTATTTTTATCCATTTTCTTGATGTTGTCATAAATCAGGCTTCATCTCTGCATCTTTGTGACTCATGTCTCATCTACATAAATAAATATTGAGAAACAGTGAGTACAAATTTCTCTGTGATTTTAAACAAGAAACTGAAGCAGGTGACAAGGCAGTTTGCATAAGTAGAAGATAAAGTCCATTGCACTAAATCTAATCTGCCTTGATGCTTTTTTCACTCTTTCTCCAGACATTAAAAGTTAGTGATTACATAAAACCCTTTGGGAAGTTTTCTGGGTATTTTTAACAGATTAAAATTTTTATATCCCTATTTATATCTGATGATATTTTATGGAAGTACCCTACTTACAGCTGAGCATTACTTAATTATACATGTTAGTTTTAGTAATTGCAGATCAAATGTTAGTTTTAGTAAACGAGCCTTACAAATATCGGATTTTATATACAAAAAATAATTTGTAATCACCACTAGATACCAAAGTGGTGCCATGTGAGAGATCTCTGCTTTGTTGTAATCTTGCCCACTCCTACTCTTAATCCTGTCATCTTCCATTATCCCTGACCTATTCAAGGGGATACACACAGCAATCACAATAAGAAAAGTGCTGTAGTAAAGTTATTAACATGGTGCCGTAGGGGACCAGGCGAGGAAGAGGCTTTCCTTATGGAAAAGACTAGAGTGAAGAAAGTCTTAAGCAGTGTGCAGAACTTCCAACGAACAATGTAGAGGGCAAGTGGGTTTTATAACATACAAGCAGAAGAGCCCAGCCAAGAGAGTATATTGAGACAAGATTTGAAGATACCGAGAGAAGGAGGTGACAGGCAATGAGAGAAGGAGGTGACTGGATGCAGGGTCAGATTTGGAGTTTATTATATAAGGAAAGGAGAGTCATTCAAGCTTTTGAGTACAGAAAGGATTTCTCTCTAGAAAGCTCAAATGATATATATGTAAAGTTAAATTGGAAGGAAAAGAACCGGACCCAGGTTATTCTTTTCAGGTAGCAGTTTGGGGAAATGGTATTCTGGAACAATGATAGAAAAGGAGAAAATAAATGGGAATTACCATGAGGAAAAACAGTGGGCTTTCATTAAAGCTGGGAGGTCAGAGAAGAAAAGACAGCAGGTAAAGCCAACACATGTTGCCTTAGAGTCTGTTCAACTTCATAATTTCAGACATGATCATTCCAAAGAGCTGAAGAGCTGTCTATTCTTATGCTAAAATAAGGGGGGAGTGAAAGTCTAGTAATATACTTTCAAATGCATTGCACAACTTGAAACACCATTTGAATTAATCCAAGTTGTTCAAAACCAAACCAAATGACAGCTTTGCTGCCTTACTTCATGTGGTTTGTAAGCAGGATAAGCAAACTTTCAACCATCTGTTGTTTTCCTAGCTTGCTAGAACAAACTCTAGAACTTACCGTGCTATGCAATCACTTATTGCTTTATTAATTTTTAGCCCAAAGTAAAGACACTTTATATTGTGTGTATGTGTGCGTGTTTGTATATGGATTAGTGAATATGTGTTGGGAGTGGGAGAAGTGTTTAGCGTGAGGTTTAAATTCTACTTTTCCCAATAATGGCATAAAATGCAGCTGCCGCCTTCCAGCCCAGCCCCGCCTACCCTCCCACTCTACAGTTGTCTTTTATTTCCAGTGCTTGACTGAGCCAGTCCTAAATGCCTTTTATCCCAGACTGAATGTAATCTGACTGCTTGGCTTTCAGTCCACTCTCTTCCTCCTTCCCCTCTTACAGGGATGTGCTCTCCCCAGCACATTTCTCTGCAGTTACACACCCCTTGCTTACTATGGAGAGATGAAGGCTGAGCATCCTATAATCCCCGGTCATATTTACCACTCCCATTGCTGGGTTCTGAAATGTTTGAGTGAGGTTTCTGTTTGGTTTAGTTTTCTTTTTGTAGCCAGAAACTTTGTGAGGCAGTATTTTTTATTTATTTTATTTTATTACTTTTTTATTACTTGGGAAAGTGTTTGAAAAAAAAATGAAGCAAGAGGTACAGCTGGTATACTTAGAAAGCTTTAGGCCTGTTCTCTGCCAAAAAGAAAAAAAAGCTCAAGATGCTTCCTTTGGGAGGAAGACTACCGTGTGGCAAAATTCTGCTCACAGTGCAAGTAATCCTTTCTTTCCCACAAGGGTATCTGTGCCTTCCAGAGCAATGCAGCCACTCTGCCTGGCAATGTCAGGTCTCGGATTTATAGTTATATTCTCTATTGCCTGGTGGCAAACAGTGATTTGCAGGCCTAGAATTCTCTTAGTTGGCAGGAAGGGCCACTCAGCTAATTCTCAAACCACATTTGAACAAATAGAACTGTAAATTCTTTCGAAGATAGATTTGCCCCTCCTTTTAAGACCTCCTAGATTCAAAGGTGTAATGGAAAAATAATAATTCCTTCTCTATTCCATGCCCTCATGTCTATGTAATAGGATTCTAGTTTGGAGACATCATTCTTTGGAGGTTTCAACAGCTGTTTGCTGTCCTGGGAGCCTTTTGGAAACAGAGTGAGGATACCAGATGCAGAATAATGTCTCCAGCAGAATGATGTTGTGATGATCCTGAGAACTGCTAAGTGGTCTTAAGAGTCGGGCTAAGGATTCCTTGAGAGTCTTTAGAGCTAGAAATGATTTTTGAGAGTAGATCAGGAAAATAGCGCATGCAGTACAAGTGCTTTGCCAATAGCAGGAGACAAAGGCTATTGTGTTGGTTTTGCCATCAACAAGCTCTATGACCCAGGACAAGTCTCTGAAACTTGAACCTTCTGAATGTCAGTTTCCTTGAATATAAAAGCTACACTAAATGAATAGTTCTCTCCTCAGAGGTTGCAGAATATTATGGTCACCCAGAAGTGTGTGTGTGTGTTTAACACTCATGCCTGACACCAAACTTACAAGGATGTCAGAGTTCAAGAAAGAGGAAATTAAGAAGCCAGGGATAAATGTTTGAGTTTCTGAGATGTTTTTGACGCAAATTATTCCCATCTGCATCCTCACCACTTCCTGATAGCGAATCTCTGGGTTAGATGATTTCTAGGATCCTTTTTGTCTTTAACATTATATGACTCTACCTGAGTTAAAAAAAAAAAAAATAGAGAAATGCATATTAAGACAACAATAAAATACTAGTAGACACCTATTAGAATAACCGAAATCTGGAACACCGACAGCACCAAATACTGGCAAGAATGCAGAGCAACAGAAACTCTCGTTCATTGCTGGTGGGAATGCTAAATAGTATAGCCGCTTTGGAAGACAGTTGGACGGTTCTTTATAAAACCAAACATACTTTTACTGTACTATCCAGCAATCACACTTCTTGGTATTTACCCAGATGAATTTGAAATTTATGTCCACACAAAAACTTGCACATGAATGATTATAGTCTCCTTATTCATAAACGCCAAAATATGGAAGAGGCCAAGATGCCCTTCAGTAGGTAAATGAATTAATAAACTGCGGTACATCCAAACATTGGAATATTATTCAGTGCTAAAAGGAAATGAGCTATCAAACCATGAAAAAGAAATAGAGGAAACTAAAAAGCAGATTACTAAGCAAAAGAAACCAATCCGGAAAGCTACGTACCATGCGATTCCAACTATATGGCATTCTGGAAAAGGCAAAACTATGGAGACAGTAAAAACATCAGTGGTTGCAAGGACTGGGAAGAAAGGGGTGAATAAGTGGAACACAGGATTATTAGGTCAGTAAAAATACTCCGTATGATGTCGTAATGATGGATACATGTCATCGTACATTTGTTCAAACGTGCTGACTGTACAATACCAAGAATGAACCCTAATATGAACTATGAACCTTGGATAATAATGATGTGTTAATGTAGGTTCATTGATTGTAATAAATGTACCACTCAGCTGGAGGATGTTGATAATGGGGAAACATGTGTGGGAATAGGGGGTATATGAGAAACCTCTGTATCTTTC